GTCTTGATATATTCTCATTGCCATCTCATTTACAGGCTTTCTTTTGTGCTTTAAAACCTGTTAAGCTGCAGAATTTGACCATGAGTTGATTTGTGAGTCAGTATGAAGGACGTGAGCAACAATCGCAGGAATGTAGAGTGTCCTTTTGGAGCAAAACCAATTGGAAAGATCTTCTAATGGTGAATAAGACGGATATAAACATGCTTATCAGCGTTTACTTTCAGCAAAAGTTCATCCAAGGCTCAAAATCTCTGACTAGTACAGAGAACAGAATGAGGAGCGAGACCAGCCTATATCTTCGCAACGCTTCCATGTATTCACGCTATGTTTGGTGTTTGTTTTGACAACCATGACCTGAGGTTGCCTGCTCAGTTTCACCACAGCGCCACCTAGTGGACATGAGCTATGCAATTTTTTAGATGTGATTTGAGTCATACGGCTAGAAAGCAAAACATAATCGCTAAAAATATGACTGAATCGAATTTAGTGTGTCACCATGGCGCAGTGAGTAGCACGACCACTGGTCACACTGGTTCGAGCCCCGGCTGGGTCACTTGGCGTTTCTGTGAGGAGCATGTTCTCCCCGTGTTGGTGTGGGTTTCCTCCGGATGCTCCGGTTTCCCCCACAGTCCAAACACATGTGCTATAGGGGAACTGATGAACTAAACTGGCCATAGTGTATGTGATTGAGTGTGTATGGGTGCTTCCCAGGACTGGGTTGCAGCTGGAAGGGCATCCACTGTGTAAAACATATGCTAAAACAGTTGACGGTTCATTCCACTGTGGTGACCCTTGAAAAATAAGAGACTAAGCCAGAGGAAAATGAATGAATGTAATATATAATACATGATCAATGAAGTGTTTGTCATCCTGGAAGTTCCCGATTGGTTGGCGTGATTGATAATTAGATGATCGATTGGGTTTTTTTTTGTGCTGTCGGAAGCGAGTGTGTGTTCATCATTGAGTTGTGTAAGTGTGTCAGCGAGTCCCTCAGCGCTGTAGCCTGTGATGTGATCACTTCTGAGGGAGCTGATCATTTATTGATGCCTCCATTAAAGAGCGAGCGCACACTTTCACATTCACTCAGTGTGTGTGTGTGTGTGTGTGTGTGTGTGTGTGTGTGTGTCGTGTGTCTGTCAGATCATCAATAACTCATGCTGTCATCGGCCTCCATATAATCCACTCTGATTGCTCGTAAACATTCACATTTCATGATATTACTTCAAACCGCTCAGTACTGGCGATGGTGATGGTGATGATGATGATGATGATGAGGATGTGGGAATGGCTCTTTATGAGGAGCGTTTTACTGTTTATTTCGGGAATGAGATGTGTTTGGTGTGTAAAAGTGTTCTGGGGAAACATCTTGATATTTGGATGTGATTTTGGCTTGATATGAACATAGATAAAGCAACTCCAGACATGCAACCAAATGATCCACTTCAGCTGTTTGATTGATGTTTAATCTGTCTATTTCAGGAGTGACCAAACTCAGTCCTGGAGCATCGGTGTCCTGCAAAGTTTAGTTCCAACCCCAATCAGACACACCTTGGCTAGCTAATCAAGCTCTTACTAGGGATACTGGAAACATTCTGGGCAGGACACCGGCCCTCCAGGACTGAGTTTGGACACCCCTGGTCCATTCCTTTATATTAGAGTGCAACGTTATACTATAACAATATCAACTGCAGTGTTAAGAACAAATGGAGACTTAGAAACATTCATTTTCCTTCAGCTTAGTCTCTTTATTCATCAGTGGTCACCACAGTGTAATGAACCGACAACTATTCCAGCATATGTTTTACACAGCGGATGCACTTCCAGCTGCAGCCCAGTACTGGGAACCCATTCACGCTCATTCACACACACTCTCATACACTACGGCCTGTTTAGTTCATCAATTCCCCTATAGCGCATGTGTTTGGACTGTGGGGAAAACCCACACCAACATGAGGAGAACATGCAAACTCCACACAGAAACACCAACTGACCCAGCCGGGACTCAAACCAGCAACCTTCTTGCTGTGAGGCCACAGTGCTAACCACTGAGCCACCGTGTCACCCTAGATTTATTTAATTGTAATTCAATTAGAATTGATTTTCATTAATAGACATTTCACTAACAATCCTAAATTTGTCTTATATACAGTACTATTGTGAATGTTTACATTTTATATTGTTGAATATTTTAGTATACATAAATGTGTATACGTGTAGGGTATATTATGCATTTAGATATTATTATTTATGTATTGTTAGTAACTATTATATAGCTTTTTGTCGTATTAAATTATTACATTATATTTACTGTAAAATATTGAAAATATAAAGAAATATAAATATAAATAAATGAAATAATCAAAATTAGACTCAAAATGTAAAATATTTATGTTTGCTAGTGACATCGGTTTCTAGCTATGTAATGTGAAGTGTACACTGGCACGGGAGGTGCGGATCCAAACGCAGGTTTATTAAACAGATCGGTCAGGCAAGCAGCGGTCAACACAGGGGAAAACCCATGTATACAGGAAATCCAGAGTCGTGGTCAAAAACAGGCGGATGGTCAAAAGGCAGGCAGCAAGCAGTGTAAACAAACAAAACAAAGCTAGTGTCAAACACGGAAGGCTAGGCAAGGAAAACGCATCATGTTCACAATCAGTATTGTCTTGGCGACGAAGTGGCGCAGTAGGTAGCGCTGTCGCCTCACAGCAAAAAGATTGCTGGTTCGAGCCTCGGCTGGGTCAGTTGGTGTTTCTGTGTGGAGTTTGCATGTTCTCTCTGCGTTCGCGTGGGTTTCCTCCGGGTGCTCTGGTTTCTCCCACAGTCCAAACACATGTGGTACAGGTAAAATGGCAAAGCTAAAATTGTCCGTAGCGTATGAGTGTGAGTGAGTGTGTGTGTGGATGTTTCCCAGAGATGGGCTGCGGCTGGAAGGGCATCCACTGTGTAAAACAAAAAATGTGCTGGATAAGTTGGCGGTTCATTCCGCTGTGGCGACGCCGGATTAATAAAAGGACTAAGCCGAAAAGAAAATGAATGAATGAATCCGTCTTTGAGCAGCATCAGCTGTGTGAGTCTAATCGATGGAGACTTGGAGCTGGTGTGTGTGTTACATGACACGACTTGTAGTTCAAATGAGACAGGATTGTAGTCCATGTAAATGTGAATGTTTTCCAGAGATCTATGAAGGTTAGATCGTTGGTGATTGTGACACATTTGATGTATGATGTATGATGATTTATTAATATTTATATACATTTTGTTAACAATATAAATGTCAATATTATGTAAGGAATAATTTACAATGAGCAGTTTATGCAGTTTGAAATGAAATACAGTTTAGGTTTAACTAGCAGCAAGTGCAGGATATACAGGTATAAGTTGTGATGGGCTCAATGATGGGCTGCAAATATGCAGAAATCTGCGCGCACAGTTTTCGTGCAACTGGGTAATATTTACAGATTTATCTATTATGGACATAATATACAAGCGGAATTAAATAGAATCAGAGATTATCAGAGATAATCACTATTAATAATCAGGGATTTGCATTGTTTACATAACTGTATTCCATTATTTTTCTGTATGTGAATTAATCTATATATTTCACTTGTCATTAATACTTCATAATAATAATAATAATAACAATAAGGGCGACATGGTGGCTCAGTGGTTAGCACTGTGGCCTCACGGCAAGAAGGCCAATGGTTTGAATCCCGGCTGGGTCAGTTGGTGTTTCTGTGTGGAGTTTGCATGTTCTCTCTGTGTTGGCGTGGGTTTCCTCCGGGTGGTCTGGTTTCCCCCACAGTCCAAACACATGCGCTGTAGGGGAACTGATCAACTACACTGGCCGTAGCAGGGCTCAACAATAAGGACTGCCCGGTGGCCCAGGGCCAGCGTGCCAGACACTTGGGACAGTAGACTAGATCATTACTGGCCCGATTGGGACAGTGCTGCCTTGTCACTAACATTTAATTTGTCTGTGACTATTTATCAATTGCGTGCATTTTAAGTTTGTGCTTTTAAGTCTTTAAACACTACCTTCTCTGTAATGTCGTAAACACCATATTGCTTTCCGGTTCCTCTTATCTGATTGAAAATTATATATTTTTTCGTAACCTGGTAACAACCAGTACAGTGAAGAAATGGCAACATGGCGGCAACATCAAATTCTAAGGCTTAAAGAAAATATCTGTTTTTATCGCTTGGAAGCAAAAAATTACGTGTGAACAACGAAAAAAAAAAAAACAAAAAAACGTTGCACAGTTTGCCGTCAGTTTGACAAGTCAGCCACCCTTTGTTAAATAATTTCAAACCGCAATAAAATACCTCCACATTTTCCATATTGCTCTTTTTGTTTGCATAACACTTTTATTTACAATTTTTTTTAAGTATTAAAATTCTAGATTCACAGACTTTATTTTTGACACATTATTTAAAATATGTGGCTAAAAAATAGCTATTAACTTTCTTTTTTTTTTTTTTTGGTGGGGCCAGTGAAAATTTTGGCAGGGCAAGTAAAAATGTAAACCACTGGCCCAATCAGACCAGTAGAAAAAATCCTTAGTGTTGAACCCTGCATAGTGTATGAGTGTGTGTGTGAATGAGGTGTCTCCCATTACTGGGTTGTGGCTGGAAGTGCATCCACTGTGTAAAGCATATGCTGGAATAGTTGACGAATGTCGGTTCATTCCACTGTGGCGACCCCTGATAAATAAGGGACTAAGCCGATGAATGAATGAATGAATAATAATAATAATATAAAAATAATAATAATCAGGGATATGCAAATAGATGGACACAGTAAGCAGGATGTTATTTGCTGTAAACAGGAATTAGAAATAGATGCAGATGTTTATATTGTGTTGTGTTTGCTGATACCTGTCGGTCAGTGTGTGTGGTTCTCTCTCCTCCAGCAGTGGTGAGGGGTGTGTGTGAGGGATCAGCGAGTTCATGAGTGTCATGTCTGTGTTTCTGATGTTATTGTGGCGCTCCCGCAGGCTCGTCCCGCAGTGTGAGAGTCCCTGACGCCGCCGCAGGACACATGCTGCAGAAACTCAGAGGAAAGACAGAGTTCAGCATCGCCCTCACACTCAAACAGGACAAACTCAACTCTGGAGTCATTCTGTCCATCCATCATGGAGAACACAGGTCAGAACACACACACACACACACAAACACACACACACACACTGATAAGCACACGCGCACACATAATCACACAAGAGACCACACACACACACACACAACATGGAGAAAACAGGTCAGAACACAGACGCACACACTAAAAAAACATAACACACACACATTCACTACTGACACTCACACCCTCACACAAACACACACCCATACACACACTCACAATTGCTCACACACTTACACACACACACATGCATAAACAAAAATTGACCCATACATACACTACACACACAACACACTCAAATATACACACTCATGAGTCATTCACCACACACAAACATTCACCACGCAGAACACACACACACACACACACACACACACACACACACACACACACAAACACGCATATACATATTGACATACACATAAACACACTCACAACCACACATACACTGCACATGAATTCACTCACACATACATACACACACACACACACACTCACTAACACACACACACACACACCCACCCACAAACACACATACACAAC